CTCCCAACCTGATGGCAATGTCACGCAGATCCAGGCAGTGCCCTGGAGCCAAGCCTCATCTCTGCGGAGATCTCCGTGGAGGGGCAGCATGATCTCCCAGGGAAATCTGCTTGCTTGGAAGCCAGGCCATGGGGTTTCCAAGCCTGGGTTTGGCCAGCACAGGGATAGAGGGTTTGCAGCTTGCCGTAGCACCTGCTCGCCACCCTGAGTGTGCCTCAGTTTCCCTAGGGATGGTTGTACTGGGTTGCTAGCCCATGCTGATGGGGTGGGGGGGTTCTGCCCCAGGCTATACCAATGCTCCTGCTGGGACTTTGCAGACTTAGAGGTCCTTGTTACAGGGTTTTACCCGCTGCCCAGAGTCAGCCCAATCACTGTATTGGGGATCAGGAAGCAATCTGACCCCCACCCCCCGTTGGATCTAGGTGGGGCCTTGGTTTACTCTGCAGCGGGGGACGTGGGCCTCTGCCTGAATGCATTTAAAGAAGGACAAGGTGGACAGACCCCCTTCTGGTCTGGTCCTGCGCTGAGCGGGGGGGACGGGACCAGATGTGAGCTCCGCAAAGCCCTGCCGGCCTGGCTTCTCTAGGATTTCATCCTGCCTTGGTCCCGCTGCGCAGACAGGCTGCTGGTCTCTGCCTCTGTTGCTGGAGCTGCCTTTAACACAGGGGTGAACCCTCTAGCGGTGCCCACTGTGTTCAAGGGTTGGAAAAGCAGCCACGGGGGCTGCAGGGCAGCCGTGGGGCTTGTGCATAGGAGAGAGCAAGTGGGTTCCTTGTTGCAGGGGGGGCGAGGGGGTAGAGAGCACCGTGCAAATGAGGACATGCCCATCTGTGTGCATGTGCACACTCAGGGGAGCATACAAGTGCACAGACCAACGTGCACATGAACTCACACCTGACTCGCTATCACTCATCCCAGTCAGGCATCGGCTGGATGCTCCCCACCCCAAGCGGGGCTTGCAGCCACCTGGCCCATCATCCCCCCGGCAGGCTAATTGCGGCTGGCATGTGCACTCAGGAGGACCCTAATCGCCCCTGGCAGGGCCTGCAGCTCAGACCTGCAGCCCCTAGTGCGGGGGCTGCATGCTGGGGTGGGGGAGACCTGTAGCAGTGTACTCCAAGCCCTACCTGGCTTCCCCCCACCCTTCTGGCATCCTTCGTGCCCCACGGACTCCCTCTGAGATGGGGATTATTGCTCTGGGTTTGTACAGCACCGAGCACCCAAAGCTGCCAGGCACTACTTCAATTCACAGCCACAGCCATGAATGAGGAATCAGGTCCCACGCGGCGCTCAGGCAGCAGGGGCTTGCTCGGGGGGTGCCCGGTGCCCTGCTGGGCTTTCATTTCCTGGCCACCCACAGCCCCTGATCGACCCCAGGCTCCAAGGGACCTGGGGGCTCCCAGCCGCGTGGCCAGGCTGACTCTATCAGGCCACCCCAGACCCCTCTCCCTGAAATGTTTGGGCTACAGCTGAGACCCATAGCCCCAGCCCCTCCAGTGCCTTTCTGGATGACAATTGCCCCAGGGGTGGAAGGGGAGGGGGCAGATCCAGGGCGCATGTCCCTGCCCCCATGGTGGCTTGTTAAGGAGGGGGGGGGTTAGTTCCTGTCCCAGGCCTGACATTCGCCCCCTGCTCTCCAGCGGGGAAGGGGGTCGCAGGGGCTGTTGTCAGCTCGCATTACCTATTCCCCCGAGGATCAGACGCCTAATTTGAGGTGGTAACGAAGAAACTGCCATGATCCCCAGGCGGGGAGGGCTGCGTGGCCTCCAGTTGGTTAAGCACTTAATGAACATTTGTAGCACATATGGCAACACGATATTAACCCCGCGTGACCCATGCCCCCCCCACCCCTCACCAGAGCAAACACTGCAGCTA